AAAAAAAAAAAAAAAAAAAAGATAGAATGGCTCGTCATACGGTAGAGATATGTTTCATTTTTAAGAAACTCCCAAGCCTGGAGGAGAATGGGAACTAAAAATGATTAAGATGCAATATGTGTGTATACCGATTCCCCAAAATGAATTTGATTATTATATATTACAAACATATATAACACAGAAGAAATTTTAAAATTTTATCTCCCAAAAGATATGTCCAAATCCTAAATCCCAGTGCCTGTGATTGTGACTTTATATGGAAATAAGGTATTTTTCAAATATAATCAAATTGTGATGAGGTCATACGGCAGTGAATGAATCGTTTGTTTTGTTTTGTTTTGTTTTTTGGTACCAGGGTGGAGTGAATGAATCTTAATGATCAGTGTCCAAAAACAATTTGGACACAGAATCAAGTGAATGTCCGGTGACTCTAGGGGCAGAGATAGGAGAGATGAGTCCATAACTCAGGAAATGCCTCTAATCCTCGATCAATCTTTAGTTTTGTCTAGATAAGTAAAGTATCAGTTAGCATTATAACAGAGTTGAGAGAACACTGGCTAACTTTGCTCAAGTCTACTTTTAGGACACATACAAAATGGATCATGAAGCCTGACAGGGTGGCACACGCCTGTGATCCCAGCACTCGGGAGGCTGAGGCAGGAGGATCACTGTGAGTTGAGACCAGCCTGGGCTACATAGTGAATTCCAGGTCAGTCTCCACTATATAATGAGACCCTGTCTCAAAAAACAAAACAAACAAACAAAATGGATCATGAAAAAGACATGCCAATCTGTTTTCCAATGTAGATGTGGCATTTACAACATTGCACACAGAATGAGGGAGTTTCAGTTACATTTTGACACTGGTATAGTCAGGTTTTTTATTTTAGCCATTGCAGTAAGTGTGGCATCTCATTGTGGTTTTAATTTGTGTTGCTCTAGTGAAAATGGCGTTGATCATTTCACGTACTTGCTTTCCATCCATACATCTGTGATGGTAAACTGTCTATTCATATCTCTTGCCCTTTTAAAAAAATTAGATTGTTTATTTTCTTATTATTGAATTTAGAGTGTTCTTTACATGTTTCATATGAAAGTCTTTATCATACATGTGATTTGAAAATATTCTTTCTTGTCCTGGCTTCTCTTTTCATTTTTTTACAAGCAGTTATGAAAAGAAAAAGTTCATTTATCATGTTTTCTTTTTAAAACTCATGCTTTGGTGTCATGTGTAACAATTTTTGTTTAACTCTAGGTCACAAAAATTTCATCTTATGCTTTATTCTAAAAGTTTTATAATTTTCTATTTTATATTGAGGTCTATGATCCATTGAGTTATTTTTGTAGATGGCATAAAGTTAATTGACGTTAATATTTTTGCTGTAGGCACACAATTATTCCAGCACTAACTGTTAAGAAAATTGGACTTACTCCACTGAATTGTATTTTTCTTTAGTCAAAACTCCTTTATGATCTATTTCTGGGTTCTATTGATCTATCTATCTAACATTGTGCTAATATTGCACTGTATTGGTTACTGTAACTTTTATAAGTTTAAAGTCAAGTGGCAGAAGTTTTCCAACTTTGTCCTTGTTTTTTGTTTTTTTTCATACCTGGGATTGAACTTGGGTCTTTGAGCTTGCGAGACAGGTGGTGGAACCACGGAGCTAAATCCCCGGCCCCCATATCCTTGTTTTTAAAGTTGTCAGTGTTGGTTCTTTGCAACTCCGTAGGAATTTTATAAGCAATTTTTCAATCTCTATCCCAAAAGAACCCTTCCATGATTCTGACTGAAATTGTACTGAAACTGTAGACAAACTTGGAGATCATTAACATGGGAGAAATATTAAATCTTCCGATCCACATGAGTTGTCTCTCATTTATTTAGGTCATTAATTTGTTTTAGCAATGTTATTTAATATTCAACCACACATTTTTAGTAGATTTATTTCTAAGTATTTCCTATTTTTATAATTTTAAATGATATGTTTCAAATTTTTAATGCCTGATCATTTGTAGATAGTATACAGAAATACTACTGATTTTTATGTTGACTTTATATCCTGTAGCCATGCTAGTTTTAACATCTTTTCTACTGACTTTGTATTGGTCACTTTCCTGTCTCTGGTACAAAATATGCAACTCAGAGCTGGGCGTGGTGGCGCATACCTGTAATCCCAGCAGTTGGGAAGCTGAGGCAGGAGTATCGCTGAGAAATCGAGACCAGCCTGGGCTACATAGTGAGTTCCAGGTCAGTCTCAACTACATAGTGAGACCCTGTCTCAAAAAAAAAAAAATATATATATATATATATATGCAACATCCACAGTTTAGACAATGAGGGGCTTATTTTGGCTTACATTTCCAGAGGAGTTGGTCCACAGTTGGCTGGGTCCAAAGCAGAAACAGCATGGCAGGAGGGCCTCGCAAAGAAAAGCTTCTCAACTCAGGACAACCAGAAACGGGGCGGAGGTGGTGGTGGTTAACCTCACACACTCAACTGAAGGCACAAACAAGGTTATTTTGGCTCACCATTCCAGAGGGTCTTTTTAGTAAGTGATTGGGCCAGTTCCAAGGCGAAAACATCACGGATGAAGGGCACAGTAGAGCAAAGTTGCTCAACTCATGTTATCCGGGAAGCAGAGCGCTGGAGAAGAGCCAGAGGTAAAAGTGCGAGGGATCTGATATAATCCCTGAGTCACACCCTGTGACCCGCTCACCCAGGAGTGTGCTTTCCTCATATTCTAGGTGGCTCTCAAGTCAATGAAGGCAACAGTGAAGATTAACCGTCACAGTGCTCTGGGCGGATCCCTCGGCCATACTTCACTCCGGATTAGAACTAAAATGCGCCCAGTCTCATGTGTTCAGAGGTGGGGCTTTTGGAAGGTACCTGGATCCTGGGGACGCTATACTTGTCAAGTGGGTTTGTCCGTCGATAAGTTCATGGCTGAGTGTGCTTTTAGGAGGTGGGCTGCTCTCGGAGAAGGCGACCGCTGAGGACATGCCTCTGAGTATCTCCCTCCCTCTGGCTCCTTCCTGCCTCTCTGCATCCTGGCTCCCTCAGGTCCTTCTTCCGTGACACTTCTGCCTGGGAGCCAGCCAACCATAGATGATGCTGTGATTCAAAGTCACCCTCTCCCCAAGTTCCAAGTGTCAGATATTTTGTCCAGGGCTGGAAAAACTAATACACATTCCCATTGCCATGGGGACATTTGCGTGTGTGCGTGTGTGTGTGTGTGCGTGTGTGTGTGTGTGTGTGTATTGTAAAACGCCTCCTCATTTCCTGACACCATGAGATACTCCATGTTCATCTTGTATATTTGTTACCCCAAGCTTAAAGCAGATGTCACCAGAGGATAATTAAGCAGATCTCCCCAGGCACTGCATACCCACTGTTTCAAAAGTGAGTATTTCCAGAGTTGGTTCATATGAAGGTTAAGTACCAAAGTCAAGGCCCCAGGTAATTTTTGTTTTCCATTTTTCCTATCCTCGGTGTGTTAGCTCATCCTTTTGGATGGGCTCCTCTCACGAAAGGAGAGCTATGGTTCCAAGCATCATAAACGGTTGCTATGGTTCCAGGCATCACCATCACACATGCACACCAGAATCTGGAAAAAAAAAAAAAGAGCACGTCCTACTTCTTTCACAAGCAAAGGAAAATTTCCTAGACACCTTTACGAGACTTTTCCTCTTATCTCATTGGTCAAAACTGTGTCAAATGTCCAATTCCTAAGCCAACCCTAGAGAGATGGGTCCATTTTGTGTTGCTGTACCAACAAAATGCCTGTGGCCAAGTGGCTCATAAAGAAAAGATGCATATTTACCTCACAGTTGGAGGCTGAAAGTCCAAGATTGGGCAGCCACATCTCATGGCCTTTCCTGAGGCTCTCGTAGCTGTGTTGCAACATAGCAGATGGCATCATGATGGGAGTGTATGGGGGAGAGAAAAGCATTCACAGTGGAAGAGGAGGGGAGAAGGTAGGAGTGGGCGCTGGCTCTTTTACTGCAACCCACTCTCATAGGGTCTGACCTGGTCCTACAAGAACGACACTAATCTTTTCCAAGGATGGTGGCCCATGATCTCACCACCTCATTACATTTCTGCTAGGGACCAAGCTTCCTGCACATGGACTTTGGAAGACACTCAAACCACATCCAAATCATAGCAGAGGAAGAGCAAGCAAGACTCCCTACCCTGGGTCTGGAGCCACTCTGAGGCCCGTGTTAATCTGAGTAACATTCTCCCACTAGACAGGGCAATTAAAGCTGGATTTCTGGTCAGGTGAAATGAACAGCTGGGTTTAAAGTCACCACCAATGCCTGCCGCTATATATGGCGTGTGTGACTACCTCAGAAATGGGTCTTCACTGCTAGAAGATCTCTGCTGAGAATGAGACACAAAGGCTGCAATCCAAAGCACTCTTCCTGCATCCCATCTTCCCTGCTTCCCCATTGTCTTCCTTGTTTTATTGTTAAAACCGTCTTCCGGCTTCTATGACATTTCATGCTTTAGATCTTTTTGTGTGTGTGTGTGTCCTCAAAGAATCTTAAATTTCTCAATTACCAGCCTCCTTGCAAGGCACTCAACAAGATAAGCAAAACATCTCATGTCCTCTTGAGCACAGTGGGAGAGTTTAGGGTCTGTCTCCATCCTTGAATATTTTTGATAGTTTGATAGACACAATGAGAAGCAATGAAGGGGAAATTTCTTTCTTCACAAATAGTAGCTACTGTGGGCTTCACGTGGGCTAGAGGAAAGGGGCAGTTAGGAGAGTATAAGTAGGAGGAAAAAAGAAAAAGCAATTCTATCTTCAAGACTTACAACACATAAAACAATTAGAAAAAAACGCAAAGCTTCTTAGCATCACCGTCCACCCCAAACAGCATCGTCCATCACTGTCCATCCCCGCTCTTCCTGCCTGCTCCTCCCTGAGGTTATTACTGCAGCGAGCAGAAGAAATGAAAAACTGAAGTCCTAGGAGTTTGGTTTTTCCGCATGTTAAGGTGCTTGGTGTGGAGTCCTTGCTGCCATTAGTTTATCTACTCACACTCAGCAGGAATCTTCCATTCTGCCATCCTCCATTTGTTGACTTTTTGTCTTTGTGTTTGTTGTTTTATGATCACAAGACAATTGCCATGACTCCAGGAATCACAACTACATTCAAAGTTGGGGTTAAGGGAGGCAGCCAGATAAGGAAGGGCCTTCCCTTACTGTTCCTGCCTTCTACCTGGGGATCACAAATATTTCTCACAAGCCCTCACAGACCGTCCCTTTATCTCACTGATCCAAATCTGATCATCCACCCCCCCCCCCCTGCACCCTCCCACCCCCACCTCCCCGCTACACAGAGAACAGCGGTGTGAATACCTGCAAATGGTGTTAGCTTGGCTCTGTTGGGTTTTAAACCAATCACTGCTCATCCCTAGAAGTTAGACACATTGCGAGCCATGCTCCACTCTGTTCCAAAAATCACTTGCTAGCAAGAAAGCAAGCAGAGAAATTACAGGTAAGCAGGTCTCCCAACCTCATTCACACAAGGTGTTTTTGTTTTTGTTTTTGTTTTTATTTTTGTTTGTACCGGGGGATCTAACTTGGGTCCACGAGCTTGTGAGACAGGTGGCAGAACCACTGAGCTACATCCCTGGCCCCACACAGGGGTTTTTTATCCTCTTCCCCTCACCTGCAGGGCCTTACCAACCCCTCTTCTTACCTACGATCAATTCATACACCAAGATCCTGCCTCCCCAACCTCACCACCAGGATCTCCAGGCTCACCGCACAGTGGGGCTTGGCTAAACAATGCAGTAACTGGTGCAGGGAGACCAGGTCCTAGAATCTGATTTCCTGAACTTGAAGCCTCATCATACTTCTTTCTAGTCATGGATTTTTTGGAATTGCTGTGATGCTCTGTTAGTAAGGATTCTTTCATCTATCCAATAAGAATTAAAATAATGGCTGGCACAAAGCTGAATCTTAATTTTAAAAGGATGGATGGATGGATGGATGGATGGATAAGCGGGTGAGTGAATGGATGGGTAAATGGGTGGAGTAATGGGTGGGTGGATGGAGGGATGGATGGATGGATGTGTAGATGGGTGGATGTTTGAATGGATCATATCTGCCCCAAGAGAACCATTGAGAAGATAAATGAGATAATGTATATGAAAAAGTCAAACGTCTACTGGCATGTGAGTAGACACATGCCTTAGATACAGGTAGAAACTGATCATATCACCACCTGCTTCAAAGCCTGCATAACTGCAGTAGTCCTTAGGGGACAGGATCAAGTCCAAACGGCTTGAATGACCCGGCCTCTGCCTACTTCCCAGTACTCTCCCTTCCTGGTCCTTCATGATGTCTCCCACCCGGACTCCTGAACATCTTCTGCACCCTGCAGTGGATGACATCTATTTCCCCCTCTTGTCCTGGCTTAGGAGTCTCCTCCCTGGGATCCTTCCTTCTGCACTTTTCACAGGCTGGACCAGGAAAGGACCCCAAGGAAAGGGAAGTCGGGAGCCACAGCACTTGAGGAAAAGGTAATCGGGAAGAATTTATGGAGCAGGGAAGCAGGAAGCATCCTCTCCAGTTTGCACCTCACGGCCCTGGGCTAAACAGGTGATAACGAACAGCAGCAGGGCTTCTCCTGCCCTGAGCCTGGGAAGTCACAGGCGCCAGGGCTGCAGATCAGACCAGGATATGAACTAGGATGAGCTACAAGAAGGAGCAAGTTCCTCAAGGAACTGGGCACCGAAAGACTCCAGAGAGGCCTCATAATTACCTGGGAACGCGCAATTTGCCAAGAGTTGCAGTTGCAATCTCCTGAGATCCTTCCTTGTGTAATAAAGTCGTGTCTTCTCGTATAAGAAAAGTTATTCAATATTCAAGCTTCTGTGTCTAGTGCATTTCACTAAATGTTATGGTCTTAAGGTGCATCTGGAAATGACCCAATGTATTCTTCTTTATTGCAGAGTAGTACCCTATCCTATATAAAGGCCACACTTTCTTTACCTATTATGAAATCCAAGTATAAATAATTTTTACAGAATAGCCAGACATGGTAGCACACACTTGCAATCCCAGCACTCACTCAGGAGGCTAAGGCAGGAGGATCCCTGTGAGTTCAGGGCGTAGTGAGTTGCAGGTCAGCCTGAACTACATAGAGAGATTCTGCCTCAATAAATAAATAAAGCTAGACAGCAGGAAAAAGGGAGATAGATCTTCAGCAAATGGGAATAGGATCCAGAGACCAAGGGAAAGGAGCAGGAAAGGAAGGAAAGGCAAGAAGATTAAGGTGTATTAAGCACATGTACCTGCCCACTATGATGAATGTGAAGGGCATGAACTGCAAACTGAAAGACAGTCACATCGGACACACCTTGCACCGCCAAAGCTGAACCTCTCCTCTTCTCTTCCTGAACTTGCTGTCCCCGCACCACTGTTACTTTCTGGCCCTGTAGCGTTCTTTGGCCTGTGAAGGGCTGATGCCTTCTCGTGATGGTTCTCACACTCTTTCCACCGCACCCGGGCCCCACTGCACACTGCACATGCCCAGACACACACACACACACACACACACACACACACACACACACACCCCTTCATGTGCATCCCGCGTGCAAAGTCGGAGTCCTTTCCTAAACTGTTGCTGTGCTCCCATCGCTGCGGGCAGGAGCACTTTCCCCTGGCCCTCTGCTCCCTCCTTCCTTAAGTACAAATGTCGCCCCAGGAGCTCTGGACCCTCCCCACCCTGTCCCACATCTTCCCGTCCCCTTTGCCCTCTCCATCTACCTTTTCTTTTGCTTGTTTTAAAACTGCTCCACCAAGCCAGGAGTGGTGGCACTCTGCCGTAATCCCAGCACTGGAGAGGCTGAGGCAGGAGGGTCATCACAAGTTAGAGGCCAGCCCGGGCTACGTAGTGAGCTCAAGGCCAGCTTGCCCTGCCTCACAAAGAAATAAAAAAATAAAAATTCAGAGTGGAGGCAGGGTTCCTAAGAGCTGCACAAATTATTACAAGGTCTACACCTGCGATGCAAAGCTACAACTCACAGTAAGGCATTAAATGTGTCCAGTTTGGCAGCCGTTCCTTCTCCCCTGCTCCCTCACCTCCTCCCTCCTGCTCCTAGGGGCTGAGGCTCCCTGGCATTTCCATAATTGTTCATGATTCCTTTGTAGTTTCACCGCCTCTTCCTAAAGGATGCATTGTTCAGTGTGGCCGGGTTCTGAGTTCTCTGTGGATTACGTCATTCTTCATTTATTTGCCTGTGAGTGGATGCTCCTTTTTTGACAGCTTATTTGAGACACAATTCCCAGACCATACAATTCACCCACTTAGAGAGTATGGTTCAATGGTTTTAGTATATTTAGAGCAACCATTGCCATAGTCTAATTTGAGGGAAATTGCATCTCTCCCCCATAAAGTCCCTACATTCCTTAGCAGTTACTCAGGGTTCCTCCCCATCTCCCAGCCCAGGCAGCCATGGCCAATGTGCCTGCTCTGCTCTATTCTCTTCCACAGGGATCACAGGCATTTGGCTTTCTGGGTACCCTGTGCTGGCACACAGCTGACTGCACGCTGCCCTGTGCATCGCCACACCAGCCAGTTCTGAAGACCAAGAGGTCCCAGATTGAGGGCCGGCATCTGGCACCTTCTTTCTGTGTTGTAACATGCTGTAAGGCAGCACATGGTGGAAGGACAAAGAGGAGAGGCAGAGGGGGTGGGCAGAGTCTGAGCTAGCAGCTCCAAACCCATTCATAGCTGGCATTAATCCATTCATGAGGACGGAGCCTCTATGTAAAAACACCTTGGAACACACCGTCACGCTAGGAATTGAGTTTCCAGCACATGCTTTTCGGGGGACACAGTCAAATCACAGCAGGCTATAATCAGAACAGTAATGTTCTTCTTAGTCCTGTCTGCCTGCTCTTCTGGGCTGGGTCTTCCCTGTCGCTGGCTGTAGTCTCAGGTAGACCCAGATTCCTGCTGACTCTCCGCAGCAGGTAGCTCCTGAAGTCATCAGATCTCTGCTTTGAAGTCCATGCCCTCCCCCAGTCAGCCTTGGCCTCTTTCTGGTACTGTACCACTGAGCCTCAGGTAACAGGGGCAAAGGCAGTGAAGATGAGGGCAGCAGAGCTCTCTCTTCCAGGAGCTTCTGGTCTTTGAGGGATTAAGGCCGGAGCAGCATGTTGAACCAAGATCTTGTCTCAGTTTGACTGATCCCCCAAGCCAATAGGTGCTAAGAACAATGATGTTCCAAAGCGAGGGGCACAATCTCCTTGGCAGGACTTGCAGAGGAAAGGGTTGGAAAGCGGTGTGGAGGCCCTGGAGCACCCATCTGGAGCCCGTCTGCAGAATGTGGCAAGGCTGAGAGAGGGCTGGAGAGCAGAGAGAGGGTGTCTGAAGGGCAACGGAGGCCAGGGAATAGTTCTGGTCCTCCACGAAGAAGGCTCACCTGGTGCTGAGTGGTACCAAGCTCACGGTGCAAGTAGGTACCTCAGAGGAAATAACAGGCAACGACCCAGCACCACAGAGAAGATGCAAGAGTTCCAGTCTTCAGTAATGACCCAAAGGAAGGCTTTGGAATTTCCACGTTTGAAGGTATTCAGACTTGGGAGCTATGCTTCAGTGAGAGCCAGGGATCTAACC